TAACGGATGGTGTCAAGTAGATTCTTCAAGGCGGATCTTTCTCGTGACTCGAAAAGGAATCGTTTTTCGCTTAGAAACAGACGAGGGAGCCAATCAGAAAACAAATTAGAGAACGGAGATTGATATAATCCCCGATCTTCAAGGACAGGAGGACTTCTTCCGTAAACTGTGCTACTGAGTACTTGCACTCCAAAAAGTCCCGAGCGAAAACTCTCTGTGTGTGTCGAAGCACAGAAGACGCAGAGTCCGCACAAGTGTCCATCGAAAGAGCCGTGCCGCCGACACCTCCCGACAAGTCTCCTTACCTGCCGCAGCCCCGGGGCCCATCTCCGAGTGACGAGAGGTAAACATCCTCGACGTCCAAACAGTCGACTGTATCTAGATAATTCTTGTTCCTAGGTGTAAGTTAATTTTATGTATAAAATAAACGGGTTTTTGTGAGATTCTTGTCATCTGTGTCTCCTCAACCACACCCACACGCGTTCGACCCTAGATCATTCTGACGCGGGATTAACGATTCCCCCCCCGGAAATCGGCGAACTTACACTCTATCGCTCTAGTTCACGTATGCATACATCATAATACGCGCTCACGATACTTTAGATTCGTCACTTTTCCGTCGTAGAGTTCCCATTTTACAATTACGTGACTCAGCCTGGTGGTAACGGGAAAAGAGACAAATAGGACGTCAGTATAAGTCACAGTTATGATTTCACAGATTCGAAACAGCTTGGTAGCCCGAACGGCCACAGGCTTTCGCCCGTGCACGCTAAGTGACTTTCATTACAAGCATTTAGCTTTCCGAGACAACAATTGTTTGGCATTGACGGCTGCAAATTTCGCGCCAATAAGATTCCTCCACTTGTTTGATTATGTTATCAACTCAATTTCGTATTTATTTTCACATTTTCACTTCGCGGTCCTTCTCTGTTCTTTTTCCGTTATTTACACATGTAGGTCATTTTATTGTTATCCACATTTGATATCATTTATCACATACTGCCACGACGCTCTTGTCTGTCCGCTACAACTGTCAAAAATTAACGCGATTGGCGAAGCTTAGTGACAGCGGGCCAATAGAGCGCAGGGTCCTCGCCATAATGCAGTTTGCGCGCCAATTTTCGTACGTGCGTTCATCAAGCCGAATAGTTTGGACGAATATTCGGCTATTCGGCCACACTCCTGGCCGAATATTCAGTATTCGGCCTGAGGCCGAATATACTATTCGTTGCAACACTAGTAAAAATCTATGGACGATTCCACGAATCCCAGAAAAGATCATGAGCATTTTTTTCACTTTTGATTTTGTCGACTTTTCATTGATGAGGAGATTGTATGGTGTGCCATTCCTCACTTTGTCGCTTGGTCTCGGAATTGTATGAAACCCATGTTTCATTCCGTTATGATTCCAAATTAGACTTAGTTTTGAGCTTTTCCAGAAATCCTAGCAAAAATTGTTTGTTTCTTGGCACGATTTTCCTACAAATTTTTCGTGTTTGCAAATGCTTGTTAAAATTCTATGAACTTCATTTTTATCCATGCCCTCCTGTTCTGCATCAGAACGAAGCTTGTCTTCAGTTTTCATACTCTCTTTTAAGCTTTGTGCCATCTAAAAGCCAAGTTTCTCGACACATTTGCAACTTCGTAATCATCAGTCAAACTTTCAAATTTTTCAATAAGGGATTTATTGAGTTAAACGCAGAATTTGATGACAAATTGAGCGTGCGAATTGTATACATACTTTTGGGACATACCTGGTGTGTATCTGCAGTCCTTAGTGACAACCACCCTTATGCAGCCTGCAAACATATAACGAAAAATTTCTTGAGGCTTTTTTACTTGGATCAAATTCCATAAGTTCCATTCAAAGTGAAGTACTTTGAATGGAACTTATTTTCAAAACGTTTCTGTGTTAATTTTTCAACATTTTTGGCAAATCAAATAGTTTTACTGTGTCATAAACTCTATTGAATGCGAAATTAGTTCGTATTCTAATTCTTCAATGCTATGAGAGTTATTTTCATTGTTTTATATATGCAACATCATTACAGATGATTAAATTAGTTTGGTGAAAGGACGATGTTAAACTGGGGACAAAGATTTGAAAGCAAATTTTGTAGGAAGAGACGTTTCGAAAAACTAAGTAGCGGTAAACACTTTTAAGGACTAGGGTCAAGCGACATTTTGCAGTGAAAAAGTTCAATAGAATGGCAGCCATCTTGTGGACAAGAGTCGTTTTGATTGCAATTTCATATTTGAAAATTTTTTTATGGTTTGTAGAGATTTTATAAA